TAAGGATTGGGCACTTAGGCAAGGCAGACTATGAAGTGGTTTTCAATGGATTCTCCTTCTATTGTAGCCTAGAGACCAGATCTTGGGTTGATGTAAATAAGCCAAGTTCCATTGACTTCAGTTGAGCTAGGCCAAATTACACCAGCTGAGTATCTGGCCCCATATTTTACATTAATAGTGAAGCATTGTCCTTACCAACCCTCTCAAGCTGTGGTTTTCTTTCATCTCTGTAGGTTTTAGTTAATCCTTCTGAGTTATTATTCGCATTGTGTAGTGCCCAAAGAGCCTCCTCATTCACTGTGATTGGAAATAATATTTTTGAGTCATGGGTGGCATAACCATAATAATTAAAATTTACATAATGACTTTCATTCTCAAACACTGTATAAATATTGACTATTTAATTCTTACCACAGATCGATGAGGCAGGTAAGTATTATTCATCTATTTATTGACACCAATACCTTCTATTATCACCTTCCTGAATCTGAGTTTCCCAAATCCTTCTATTGACTATTTCCACTGTACCAGTTATATGTGGATATTTTAATAGATATCTGTAGCTTTCTGATTTTCCTTTAGTAAAATCTTATAGTTAATATTAATCTTTCTTTTGGATTATATGTAATACAAAGGTTTTGACCATTTAATTTCTCTGTGCCTCAGTTCCCCATTTGTAAGATAAAATAAAATAATAATAATAATAATAATAATACTTTATTTTTTTTACCATTGTGTGTACATTGCAAAGTCTTAAAGGCATGGACAGTTTTACAATGTGGATGTAGATCATATTGGGGCCCTGATCTTGGTTGAGGCCTCTAGGCATTACTGCAACAAAAATACATGCATTGATAAATAAAAATAACACAATAATAGTGACCACTTGCTGTCATTAAAGACTCCAGTCATACTTCTTTTCTCAAGATTTCTTGTGCAGACCCTGATTTCCAGAGCAAATTCCTATTTGTATAAATACATTCCATCTACCTTAATTCCGTGTGCAGTTTCAAGGGATTAAGTCATTTTTCTTTGCTTCCTGTCCCAAACTGTCATGTACTGTTATCTGTGTTCTTAAATACATGTCCTGTTTCATTCCATGGTTGAATACAGTTCAGTGGTGGTTGAAAGATTCCTGTATATCTAGTTAGTAAAGTATTCAGGGATCCTTTAGAATGAAAGATGCTAAAGAAATATAAAATGCTATTAATTATTATTATTCTAATACATGGCCACTAGCACTTTATGAACTCTCCCAATCCATAAAAATATTGCTGTGGTTTAACAAAAGGTCTTGGGAATATTAGCTTTAAATTGGAAGAATGTATTTTGACAATAGAACACTGTTACTATTGACTTACTTGCATTATGAAGCATTATCATCTTTGCATTGTGGCATCATTGAGAATCTGGCCCCCAAATGTGCTAAAATTGCTAAACATTCCCCATTACGCTTTCAAACTAATCAACATTAAAAGAGTAAATCCTTTACTTTTTCATTAAGAAAAGTTTATATTACCACTAATGAGCTATTCATTGGAGTGTGTTATTTAAGTAATGATAGTCAAGTACATTTAACTTCCTATGGCTTTGCCTTGACCTTTTAACTCCTCTAACTGATCATTACCTAACTGTAAAATCCCCCAAATGGGTCATTAATGCTTAAATAGATTTCTCTTGCTATTGCTAGAATATACTCTGGGAGCAGAATGGTGTCTAAAGAGATACCTGTTTGTGAGTGCCTTACTCTGTATGAAGATAAAGAAATACCAAATAAAAATGAAGTTAGTGCAATGAATAATGATTTGCTATACTTACTAATAAATGACCGAGGGAGTACCGCACATTCTTTCCTGTTCCACATAGGATGACTCATCAGTCTTGGGTGTCAGAGCACATGCAGCTCTCATCAGCAGGATCATGTAAATTCTAATACACAGCATCAACCATGTCTTAGGTAACCTCTAAGTGGATGTGCTAAACTACAGAACCAAGTGAGTAGCTCATGGGAGCAGCTACTATAATTTTGGCTTAGGAAACCTTGCCTTCCACAGCTAAGTCAGCACAGCAGTCATGAGTTAAAGTGGAGCTAGTGGAGGCTGCAATGAGAATTGGAGCATGGAGACACAACATATGATTCACCAAGGCAAGCAGCGAAGGCAGGACAGTCAATGCCAACCCAAATTAGTGGCATCGTCCACTGCCAGGTTAAGAGATTAATAGACAGACCAATTATTCATTAACTGTATTCTAATATTCTCTCTCATATTAGAACACACTGTAGGACCTTGGACTGAGGGATGTGAAAGTAGATGTGACTACATGCAAGCCATCTTTACTTTAATCCATTCATTTGCAAGTTAGTCAGATCATGGTGAACAAATGACTCCTGACCAGCAATAGAATCATAGAATATCAGGGTTGGAAGGGACCTCAGCAGGTCATCTAGTCCAACCCCCTGCTCAAAGCAGGACCAATCCCCAGACAGATTTTTACCCCAGTTCCCTAAATACTTAAGGGCTTTGAGCAGAGAAGGTGTCAAAAGGCATATTTCTATTTTAATACCAGTTCTTCATTTCAGATGTTATATTAGGTTTTAGCTGTTGTCATTGTCTTTTTGCAGAAAAAATCAGTTAATCTAAAAAGACTTTTTTAAAAATATTCATGCAAAGAAAATAAAGCTTGAGGTATAAACAAGATACACAGTGGAGAAAATGATAATGGTATGTAGCACTGATCAAACTAAGATCTTTAATAAGTGCTACATAGCCAGAAGTTCTGAATTCAATTAAATTCAACTCTGTGCCTATTTAAGATGGTGAAACTCTTCTTTCTTGTTATGCAGCAACTGTTTCTTTGCCATGTTGCTTACATTTAATAAACCCTCCAAACTTTCTTTCATCTGCTTATATTGTACATACACCTCAGTTTGCTTTAAGAAGGCCATTTAACCTCTTCTCAAACACTCCAAAAGTACTCATTTGTATATAGATACATCATCATCTGCTTTGATAGGGCTTGATGTATACTCCTTCAGTGATAAAATTCCAGCTGACTTGCAGGAAAGGAGCAGTCTTATGCTTGATTCTGCAATCAGCCAGGGCAAGGGATAATGTAAATCACTTATGAGACATTGAATCATCCTCTGATATGGCCCAAAAGTTTTATGAGAAAATTAATGTATGAAGTGTGCACCCCAAGGCTCTCGCTTACTGGGGACCCATCAAACAAAAGGATCTGTTTATTTCTGTGAGATGCTAAAATGAATTTCTAAGATTGCCCTCCTAAATCTGGGGCGGGCAAACTTTTTAGCCTGAGGGCTGCATCGGGTTTCCAAAATTTGTATAGAAGGTCAGTTAGGGGAGGCTGTGCCTCCCCAAACAGCCAGGCATGGCCCAGCCCCCGCCCCCATCCGACCCCTCCTGCTTCTCGTCCCCTGAAGGCCACCTGGGACTCCTGCCCCATCCAATCCACCCTGTTCCCTGCCCCTGACTGCTCCCTGCCACCCCATCCAACCTCTGCTCTCATTCCTGACGCCCCCCCCCCAGAACCCCTGCCCCATCCAACCACCTCTTCTCCCTGTCCTGATTGCCCCCGGAACCCCTGCCCCCGACTGCCCCCTGCCACCCCATCCAAATTCCCCCCTCCTTCCTGACTGCTCCCTGGGAAGCCCTGCCCCTATTCAACCCCCCTGTTCGCCGCCCTCTGACCGCCCCGATCCCTATCCACACTCCCGCCCCCTGACCACCACCCTGAACTCCCCGTCCTCTATCCAACCCCCCCCGCTCCCTTACCGCGCTGCCTGGAGCACCGGTGGCTGGCGGCGTTACAGCTGCGCTGCCCAGAGACCAGGACAAGCAGCCGTGCCACCTGGCTGGAGCCAGCACAGAACACTGGGTCAGGCTGCAGCTCTGCAGCTGTGCTGCCCCAGGAGCTTGCAGCCCCGGCTCCCAGAGCATTGCGCCAGCAGCAGGGCGAGCGGAGGCTGCTGGGGAGGGGGAACAGCAGGGGAGGGGCCAGCCTCCCGGTGCAGGAGCTCAGGGCCGGGCAGGAGGGTCCAACGGGCCAGATGTGGCCTGTAGGCCATAGTTTGCCCACCTTTGTCCTAAATACATGAGCTACTTATGCAATTTATACACCTTATCCACCAGGACAATCTTTACAACATGATACCATCAGTGACATGTGCAATCTCAAAGCTGCGACTTAAACTGTGGGTCTCTTGACCAATGATTTCTCACTAATTACCAGAAATGCCTCTTCCCATAAGAGATGTGCTTTATTATTTGTTCTGACTAATGTCACTATAAGATAGATCTTTATGATGAGGGAAGATTTATGATTCAGGAGACATTTATATTTCTCTTTTCTGTTCAGGAAACTGTAAGAGGTTAAAAGTACAATGTAGCATGAGCTCATCAAATAAAAATGGAATGGTAAAATTGCTCCCCGAGATGTATTTGTATATGCATGTACATTGTTACAGAACAGAAAATCCAGAAATGAGGGAAGGAGAAGTACTCATTTCATTCGTACCTTCCTCTCCCATGGGCAATTATTTTGGCATAAAAAGCATCATCAGGTGTGACCAGCTGTAAAAAGGCATGGGTTACTAATGTGGCATTGCTATGGGAGAGGAAGGACTTCATGCAGAGAATATGATGCTTGCTCTGTTATGCAGGTTGACCACTAGCTAATACTGGTATATTGGCAGACATGCCATTATCCTAACAGATGGTCATGACTAGGGGAAGCCAAAATATTATAATCAGGAATCCTACTGTCAAGTATATTTTAGGCTCTATCTAGGAACAGCTGCCTGTCCCTTGTGAGCAGCCATATTAATGGCTAATGTGACACACCATTATTACTCCAGCCGAGAGCTGGATTAACTTTAAAAATCAGATAATTTTGGATTAGACTGCACAGCACCAAAAGGAATAAGAATAAAATCTCCATTCTTTGTTGAAGGTGCTATGAAACTCACTACAACCAAGTTCTGCGGGATAGTCCAATTTCCTCTGAATAGATTACAAAATTTAAGTAGTACACAATGCTTGGTTTGGCCAAAGGCCACGTAACAGCCCTTCGAAACACATTCTGTTGAGAATAAAGTCTTTTATGCCTTCAGGTAGACTTTTCAGGAGGGTAAAACTGCCCAAACTGGAAGGGACAAATACTACTCCAAAATACTAGCAAAGACCGTTATTAAGGCCTTGATTCAACAAGGTATTTAAGCTTGTGAATACTTGTAAGCATGTGAGTACTCCCACTGAAGTCTATGAGATCATTCATGTGCTTAACGCTACACTAGCGCCCAGAACCTTACCGAATCAGGGCCTAAACACCTAAAGTGTTCCTCATTTGGGACCTAATTCAAAGCCCAATAATGTCAATGGGAGTCTTTCTAGTGACTTCAATAGGCTTTGGTTCAGGTCCTTGGTGAATCACCTTTCTTTTTAATTTGTAACACATTGAATGCCCATGAAAGTTTCCAGCTGAGGGTTATATGCTAGTTTTCAAATAAACACATTCTGAGCCTTAAGAATCATGATTAACCTGGCGTTTATATGCATAAAAAAGGCTGTTTCCTGCAGCTTTGTGAATTCTGGTCACCATAACTTCTTGATATGCTACATCATTTTTTCCTCTTCTACTTTTTACATAAGTTGTGGAGCATACAAATAATGAAGGAAGCCATAAAAAGCCCATACAACAGCTGTAAATGTTACACAATAGTAAATTCAAATAGAAAAATCCATGTTGGTGTTTTTGTTCCAACAACTCTCTAATGAAGGACATTCACCAACAATGCCTGCAAAGTGATTCTGAAAGAGAAGAGATCAGGACAGAACTGCATATACCCCTAATTTGTGTGTGCAGTTCTTAAACAGGATGGGAAATCCAACTCTGATCTCCCTTTCAATCTATGGAGCCCAATCACTTTTAAATAACCAAGACAACTCATTCCCCTATCTTCCCTGTTGACAGCAACATTTACAGTCCCTCTGCATGCATCTTCCTTTATGTTGACTATTAGCTTGTCAGAACAAATGTTCAATTACAATTACTACTGATCTTCATACAATTTAATCAACAATCAAACTTCAGGAAAAATATATGAAGCCTTAATAACCTTGGGTTTTTTCCCCACCAAAACTATTTCAGGATTTTGCTGAATCTATATTTACTTTCAAAATTAAAGTATTATCTAGTGACCTAAAAAAATCTGTATACAGCATTTAAATCCATATAAAAAGATTTGTCTATAATTTATAGTGAAAGCTACATACAAAAACGTTCTGTATACTTAGATTATAGGCTATAAACCAGACTTAATCTCCTTAAAAGTAGGCACTTAAAATACCCTGTGTTTTGGTCAAAAGTAGTTACAGTAGTCAAATTTTGGCTACTGAAAGACTTTAATAAAATTCTTGTTTGCAATATACCTATCAGATCCTAAATACTGCTATGCTGAACAAGTCATTCCTATTTTGGAATGGAAGTCAATAAGTAGCTTCCGTCTTTCTTGTTCTTCCTTACCTGCACCACTTCAAGGAAAGATATGATACAGGTTTGTAGACAACAATTGGAATTTTCCTCCCAGAATAGACCCCAACTGCTGTATCTCATGCTCTGAAGAGGAAGCTTATTAACCATTTTTATCATACATTGCTTTAAATGGAAAAATAGTATTCCAGTTCACTTTAACAGGTTGCTAAAGAAAGCCAGCAGAATTTTGGATGATGCTAACCACTTTTGAGTAGGCCCTAAGTCCTAGTAGCTGTTTCTTTTATCGTGCTTTAGTTTATTTGTGAATTACAGTGATCTGGGATGGACTATACTTTTCTTCACCCTTTAGAAGTCATTCGGAGCCACAGCAACTATCTTCCGTTACACGAACACCAGACAGCATATGTGGATGTAGGCCCCATCCTACTTGCTCCTGAGCCAACAAGATCTGTCCATAATGTGCTGGCTGATTCAACAGGCACTTTATATCTCTTTAAAGCCCATTAATTATTTCCCTGAATATCCAGGGTAAGGAGGAGGTGGCGGACACTGTACTGAAGTCTGTGGAGTTGGAGTGTAAGGTGGAGGTAGGTCTGCTGCGTATTCCATCTCGTATTCATAACTATAAGGTGGAGGAGCCACTGAAAGTGAAAGAGAAGCAGAATTAGTTTGAAAAGTATAATTTAACCATATCAATATTATTTAGGTGGGGAAGGTTTCCAGTAGTAAATAGCTCTACGCATTGTGGGACAAAGCCTGAGGTCTTCTCTGAGGTTCCCGGCCAATGGGAACTGGGAGGGGTGGTGCCTGTGGGTGAGACACACGCGGAGCTGCATGCGCGCCTCCGCCTAGGAGTCAGACCTGCTGCTGACTGTTTCCAGGACGCTGATGGGGAGCCATCCTTAGTAAGCCCCAATCCCATGCCCCAATCCCCTGCCCTAGCCCTGAGTGCCCCCAAATCCGGAGTCCCTTCCTGCCCCCCAAGCTCCTTATCCCTGGCCCCACCCCAGAGCCTGCACCCCCAGCCCAGAGCCCTGACCCCCTCCTGCACCCCAACCCCCTACCCCAGCCCTGAGCCCCCCAAACCCAGAGCCCCCTCCTGCAGCCCAATCCCCTCATCCCCAGCCCCACCCCAGAGCCCTGACCCCCTCCCGCACCGAAACTCCCTGCCCCAGCCTAGAAGTCCCTCCCATACCCTGAACCCCCCATTCCCAGTCCCACCTTGCAGCCCTCACCCCTGCACCCCAACCCTCTGCCCCAGCCCTGAGCCCCTCCCACACTCCTCTGCCCCAACTCTGTTGGGTCGCGGGCATCAACAATTTTCTTCAACTGGGTTGCCAGAAAAAAGTTTGAAAACTACTGCCCTAGTGTGTGGTTCTTCACAGCCCCATGTCTCATCATGGAGATGTCCCACCTCCCCAACTTCAGGCTACATTGATAAGAGGTTGGACTGCCTGATGATAGTGAGAGGATGTGAACCCAGGCTGTGTGCACTGCAGAGGAAAATCAGATCCTAGTGCAAAGGAGAGATAATGGCACTTCCCCAAAATCTACTCAGAGCTGAAGTTGAGACAGAAGGAAAAGATTTCCATAGCTTGCCACCTATCTCAAAGACAGCTCCTAGGTAGGGTGGGAGAAATAGTTTCTCAGTCTGCGCCATCCTCCAAAAACTGCTTCTCCTGAAGCACAGAGCCTCCCCCTGGAAGGATATTCATACCAGGGACAGGGAAAATGGAGAACTAAAATGTCCATTCATCTCCAGCAGGAGACAAGGATGAAACACAGTGAGAAAAGAGGTCTAGAGACCTCCATTTTGTTTTTGCATACTAACTTTGCTCTTTAGCAATTCATGATTGAGAATCGTAATGAGTACTATAGTACTCTATTACTCAACTCTCTATGTTATGCAAAGCAATGTTTCTATAATGAGGATGATTATAGCTAAGTTTCGTGCAGCTGGAAAGAATGGGAGTGAGGGGGAAGATAGATACATTGAGTATATGACACTGCAATATGGACACATGCAAAAATACTAACTATGTAGTGGAACGGGGAGATTGTCAGGCAAAAATAGTATAGTCTGGAGTGGCATTATCTTTGCTGCTGAACCCAAGTATGGTACAGAATCCCATTTCTAAGGCAAGGGGAATTCCTGTAGTGCAGCATGACTGATTTTATTGTTCATAAAATATATAAACACAAAACCCTTATTAGGGTAATTTCAATAAAGTTGCCAAAATTAGAGCATAAAATTAGATACTCGCCCAGGTCATACAACTGATATTTTTTTTGTAGGCTGTAAGCTCTTTGGTGCAGGGATTGCCTCTAAGCATGTGAATACAAACATTTAATAATATTTAAAAAGCGCTTGTACATTTTCACAGACAGTTCTTAGCATTAAGGACTTAATCCTGCCAAGTGTTAAGAGCCCTCTACTCCCACCCCTGGAATTTGCAGGAGGCACATAAGATGTTCCAGGAATGGGCCCTTCAATGTACTTTATGTGATTTTACCGTTTCCATGCCACAAGGAGTATTTTTATCTTGAAAAGATTTTGTTTACAGGACCTGGCCAATCTCCTACTTACACATCAGCTTTTTTTTAATTTTATTTTATTTTAAAAAGACCTGTCCTTAAATTATTCACCAAAGCAATTTCCCTTATCTGATATCTGGAAAAATCAACTGCATGGTACTTTCACATTCTTCTGAGACAATATAACAAGATCTCCTCCTCTCTCTCTCTCTCTCTCTCTCTGTCATGGCTTCTTGTGCTGTTTTTCAGCCTTATTGTATCACAGGTATCCATTTCTGATATTGGAACATAGCCACCAACCCCGTTTATAGGGGTATCAAATGCCCTGGCTTCACTTTGACATGAAACCAACATGATAGACAACTGATTGCCTTGCATGCCCTGCCATCATGATCATTATTCCTTAAGTAACACAAAGCCATTAAGAAAGGGCTGGATGGTGGAAAACTAGAATATATTTAGTTTAGTAGCATTTGTATTTTCCATAGCAAACCATGCACAGTATTTTAGGGATTGACTACGTAGCCTGTAACCTGGAAATGAAGTGTATATTTTAATATTAATGTTCATGTGTTTGAAATAAAATTTATTATTCTTTACTAAGCATTCAAAAGGGTTCTAGGTGCTTCAGAGAAGCAAAGAGGAGACAATTTCTGCTCCAAGGAGCCTACAAGAGAAGGTCTGGGGAAATGAACTTTGTGGGGTGTGTGGCTCAGCAAAACGTTCAGAGGGGGATGTGGATCAGCAAAATCTGCCCTCTGATATGACCTGGGTGGAACAATGCAAAATGATCCACATTGAGATTTCCTCTTCCAAAACCCCTTGCAGTTGTGAATCCAGACCAATCTGCAACGTTAGGTTTCCAGAAGCTTGAGATGCAGAAACCATTAAATTATTTAAACACTTCCTTTCCATTGTATAGACCTTCCCCAAGCACGGAAACCACACCCACCCAGCTCTTGAACATTTGATGGGATGGCAGGGTGCACTTTACACTGCTCTGGAGTACTTTTTGAAGTATCTTAGGGTATGTCTACACTGCAATTGGATTCCCATGGCTGGCCTGTGCTAAATGACTCAGGCTCGTGGGGCTGTTTAGTTGTAGTGTAAACATTTGGGCTCAGGCTGGAGCCTGGGCCATGGGACCTTGCAAGGTGGAAGGGTACAAGAACTCGGGCTGCAGCCTGAATCCGAATGTCTGCACTGCAATTAAACAGCCCCACGAGCCTGAGTCGTTGGCACAGACCAGTTTTAATTGCAGCGTAGACATGCCCTCAGTTATTGGGAACAGCTGTCCTTTGTTGACATCTTTATTTTACTGACTATGAACCAAAAGTGGATGTAATCTCCCCATTTAATGGCTGCACTTAACTAAACTCTTCTTATTGTAGTCAAGAGGGGCACCGACCACCTGTGACAACAACACCCCTAATCCTGGCCTAGAGAGGAGGCCTGAAGATGGGGAGGGAGGTGTTGGAGAGTGAGCCTGGTCCACACTCAACATGTAGCGGCGGATCCTGTCCTGGGGGGACGGGCTTGGCTCCCTGTTCTGGGTATTGCAATGGGGTGGCCAGGGTTTGCCACTCAGGTTTGCGGCATTAGTGGGGGGTTCATGATTTCTGTGGGTAAAATTGACTCCATGAACCCCCACTAAAATTGCCACTGCTATGAAATCATAATGATTTAAGAATATAGCTCTATTATGAACATTTCCTATGGAATTCTTTGGCAATCTTATGAAGGAGTAACTTTGCATCCTCACCCGGATAGGTGCTGATGGTGTTGATATGCGTAGTCCTGATGATCCCTACTCGAGTCCCACGGTTGTTCTTCATGCACATGCAGATACAGATGGCGATGCCGGCAATCACTCCCATTATAAATACGATACCAAATACAATCCCTGCTATTGCTGTGCCTCTGCAATGTAAGAGGAAATATGCAGTCAGTTTCAGCCAAAGGCAGTTTAAAGAAAGAAATCCTTTCCTCTTCAGCGTTCCTCATTTTAAACAAAAATGCGTATTGATTATTGGAAATACCACAGAAATCAACCCATCACAGCATCTAAACAAACATGAAGATCCCAGACACACACAAAATGAGACAGTTAATTCAAAGTCACCTAGAACATTGAGCCAGGTCATTCTCCTGATTTACTGTATGTTAAATTGTCTCATTCCAGGGCAGGCATAAATGGCTTTTAAATATTGTGCAGGACATTTTCTCCTCCACCCCTTTATGCAGTTTTTCCCCTAGAAGGAAAATCACTATTCTTTTCTCTTTAGAAAACGGTCAAGTTTCCCATAGTAATTCCAAGGGCATCCCAAGGTGCTGGCATGGTATGTTTCCATCTGCATTGTTCTGGTCTTTGCTATATTTTGGGTCAGAACGTTTTTTTAGTACACAGAATGGTGTACCTATCCAACTCCAGATTTAGGAGAACCTTCTCTATTATGAACAATAAGAAACAAATTCAATTTGGTCATTCTTTCCCACATCTTCTGGTGCATCCAGCATGTATACTTGCACAACGATTAAAACAAAACAACAGTCATAGAGGCTCAATTTACCCATTACCTTTCCCCCCAAAGTGATTAATCAGACTGTAGTTCCAAACCATTTGGAAGAAGGAAGCCCTGTTGCACTTACACTTTGGGTCAAAATTCTTCTTTTAGGTATACATGAAGAGCTCCTGCTATTGAGGCCCAACATTAGCCCTTATGATACACCCTGGCTCACTCAGTCTTGTTATTCTGCGCAGTCAGTGAAGCATGCACAATGTGCGAGATAGGCATTGATAGTCGTGACTTTTACAAAGAGAAACCGCAGTTTACTGAATATTTTTATTCTGTGCATCATTTTACTTTCAAACCAGGATTCTAGATAGCAACCTTATGGATACTGTTATGTATATTTTATGTCTTCTAATTTGATACTTTGTTCAATAACAAATAAGCTACAATGGGATATCTTGCAATGCAGAGAATAAAGAAAGCATTGCGAAAACCTGAAAGTCATAAATAAAACAGGGTTTATAATGTGTTGGTTTTCATATACCAGTGTCAGCCCTGGAATGCATTTCAAACTGCTGAGTGCCTAGCTGCTTCAGTTGAAGTCAATGGTACTGCAAGAGCCCAACACTTCTGAAAATCAGACCATTTATTCAGGTGTCTACATATGGATCCAGGGGCCTCTCTAGATCCACAAAAGGGACTTAGGCTCAGTGTTTTGTGCCCAAGTGAGGCATCCAGGCTCTTTATACAGTAAAGTGGGAGACTCAGGTGCCTAAGAATGGGAGTCACAGAGGCCATCACACTGAAGAGCTACCTAGGCTAGCCAGAAGGAAATGCTTATGCCCTCAAAGGGAGTTAGATGCCTGACTCCCATCAGGATTCACAGCTGTGAACCCTCTCCTGATGGTAGGCACCTAAGCCAGCTCTTTTTCCGCAAAGAACAGTGGTGGTGGCACCTCTTTATAGCCAATAGCCCAGCGTTTAGAGTGCTTGCTCAGGATGTGGAAACCCAGATTCAAGTCCCCACTCTGCCTGTCTTGAAAGCAGGCCTCCCACATTGCAGGTGTGTCATAGCTATCAGACAGTTGGCTATTCTGGGATGGGTCTCTCTCAATCTCTCCTGTTGAAGCTATTCCACTTTTATAAAAAACATTTGTATGGTTATTAGAGCAGACTAGAATTGGGGTCTCCGAGGACAGTGCCCTAACCACTGGGCTACAGAGTCATTCTCACTGGCCCAATGCATATATAAAGTACTTTATAAAACACTAAGATAAGGGCACTCACCTGGGATGTGGGAGACCCTGGGTTCAAGTACCTGTTCTGAATTAATCAGAGGGGGGATTTAAACCTCAATTTCTCATGCTCTAACAACTGGACTACTGGGCATAATGGGCACAGCGGCAACTCCTTGTTCTGTAGGGGGCCTGATCCTGTAGACAGCCCCCAGGAACCTCTGCCAGAGAAGGCCCTGCAGCTGAGATAGACAGGGAATTGCCTGGTTTGAGAATCCTGCCAGGATTAGAGCTCAGTGGTATTAGGAATTAGGTGACTTTGTGCATGCCCACCAACAGAAATGTAGAGGTCTTTACTGGTGGAAACGTAGACACCTAAGGACTTTATTCACCTACAGGGTTAGGCAGCAGCTGTGCAGGGGTTCTGAGGGTTGACATTTTTGATTTAGGTGTCTAAAGGTGCTTAAATCTCTTTATTGGTCTAACCCTTAGTGTTCACCAACAGGCATTAAGTGTTCCACACTTTGACCCAAGCCTAGAAATACCCTTATTTGTAGGGTAACAGAATGTTGCAACATTAGACTATGTGACTGAGATCTTCCAGTTGTCAAGTTCATCCAGTTCTCTCTGGGACCAAGTTAGCCACATTTGGAACAATGGGCGCATTAAAAAAAAAAAAAAGGTTAAATTCTGAAAAGACTTTGTGAGATATTCTTTCATTTCCAAAGAGTTTTCTTATGACACTACCAAAAAATAAGACAAAACAAAAACCAAAGGCATAATGAAAGCTCCATTTATTATAAACAACTGCAGTACTATGAATGCTTCCATTATATCCATTAAATGGATGAATCATTGTGACCTTCCCCTAGAGTGCCATATCAGAAAATCATACAGAAAGTTGTTGTGCTTAAACTATCTTCTAGGTGAAAGAAACAGAACCTGAAACCAAACATCCCTGGACTGCTGGCTATAATTTTAGTGTTTTATTTTTCTTTTGTATATGTAAAGCAGGTCTCCCACATTAACTGTTCGACAGTAATGTTCCAAATATGCAAATCTACTCTGCCCCACTCATTCACTCAAGCTCTTGAGATTAAAACAATTCACTATTTTTCATTATTATTACAACCTACAAAGTGAGGGGAATTCAAACCACAGTTAAAAGAATAAAGGCCAACCCTACCCTCCATCCGCACTCTCCCTCCCCCTCAAAAAACCCCAATCTCAAAACCAAACAGCACCACCCACTTCTCTGGAAACAGTGACTGACCTAAAAATGCAACAATATAAATACAGTGGGGCCAGATTCTGCACTCCTTATGCCGAGTTAATACTTTACAACAGGCGTAGACTTGAAATCAATGGAACTACTCATGGAGTAAGGTACTACTCAATGTAAATGTGGCAAAATATGTCCAAATACCTGGATGAGGAGCAGCGGGTCTCCTGGGGTTATTTAAAGGGCTCGGGCTCCCGCTGTCTCTACTGCCCTGGGCCCTTTAAATAGCCGCCAGAGCCCTGGAGTAGTGGTGGGGCTCTGGGGGCTATTTAAAGGGCCCGGGGCTACCGCTGCCTCTACACCCCCAGCCCTATAAACTGCTGCCGGAGCCCTGCCGCCGCTGCTACCCCAGGGCTCCGGTGGCTATTTATAGGGCCCAGGGCGGTAGAGGCAGGGGAGCCCCGGACCCTTTAAATAGCCCCTGGAGCCCTGCTGCCAGAGCCCTGGGGTAGCAGCGACAGCTGGGGGCTCCGGCAGCGGTTTAAAGGCCCCGGGGCAGTAGTAGCGGCCGAACCCTGGGACCTTTAAACTGCTGCTGGAGCCCCCGCTGCTCCCCGGCGGGGGAGAGGGAGGGCACTTATTGGTAGAGGGCGGGCCGGGGCTGGCTGCGACCCCCCATCCCCGCCCCTTCCGCCCGAGGCCCCGCCCCTTCTGGGGGCCAGAGCCAGCCCCAACCCAGCCCAGTACTGGTAAGTTCCTATTTCTACTTTCACCCCTGCTAACCATTTTTGTTTCTATTTATGAAGTCAGATTTTGCATTAACGTGGTGTTTAGAGACTAGCTTTTAGACAGTTTGTTAGTGACAGCATGAGACATGGAGAAGGAGCTGCCTACACTCAAATGTCTTCTCTGTTCAAGTAGGGGCTGATTCAAAGCCCGCTGAATCAGACCCACGGGTCATGCATTTTACATTATTATGTGAGCCAAGTACTTCATTTGTAAAAAAAAAAAAAGAAAGATTAAGAGGATTTTGAAGAGAGTGTTACAGCATTAAAGTGCTATCTGCTAATCAGCTGAACAGTAAGAACATGCTATTAAGAGGTGCTGGGCCCCCATAGCTCCCACTGACTTCAGCTGGAGCTCTGAGTGCTCTGCACTTCTGAAAATCAGGCTCCAAAAGGCTAAAACTCTCAGAATCAAGTCCTGACATGACTAGTGTGTTGGAATGACTGTTCTGTGGATATGATGTAAAAATAAATACTTGTTCACTTTGTGGATGACCTTTGGTGTGGCTACAATGTATAAAGCAAAATCATAAATCTATTTATTTACCCTTCTGATATGGCCAAATCTTTTTCAATGCCATTTTCATGTTCCTGTTCAATTAAATACCCTGTAAAGAAATTTATCAACTTTTATATTATAAAATGCATGCTCTCTCTCTTTCACTCAGTACTAAGAGGATACAGATGACATTTTTCATGCTATCACCACTGCAAGTTTCATCAAGGCGGTGTGTCTTTAGAGAAAAAGGACAGCAAAGCAAAGGAAGGCCTAGAAACTGCACAGCAGAATCACATAGCAACTAGGAAGATTTGAAGGAAAGAGAAAACTTTGAAGTACAACAGTTTAAAGGAAACCTTATGCAAGGTCCTTCATAGAAAAGATATGGCTAGAGGGGAAAAAATATAGCCATAGAAATAGCGACGGAAAAAGAGTATACAGAAATGTAAAGGGGGAGAAGAAAAGGTTTTTTTTTGTAAAAAAGAGAAATTCCAAAGGACATCCTTGGGGGTAACAATAAAATATTCAAAAGACAAGTTTCCTTCCCCCATCACATTTACATTTTACCAGTCAACATTTCTGCTGGTGCAAGGCCCACAGAATCTTTTCAGATCTTCTGCTGGGCTGTACAGGGAGGCTGCCAGTAAACAGGGATCCAAGAAGTCT